GAGGAGGGCACAATCGAAGTTCCACAATACATCTTCGATAGCATCAAGAATGAAATAGTTTCTATCGAACTAGCTGACCTACCGAAGGCTACCTTTCTTCAGCTTAAGCCTGCTCAGTTCTACCCCCACATCACCAACTGGAAGTACTATCTAGAGTCCCAGCTCAGCCAGAACTACACAACCCTCACTAAGGGAAAGCCATTTTTTATAGACGATAGAGTTGCAAAGACCTTGGTGGAGGTGAACGTCGAGGATGCCAATGCACCTACTGTCATCGTTGTGGATACAGATACCATCTTGGATGTGCTTCCGTTGAACGATATAATGGCTGCCCAGCAGCTCAGCCAAAATGATGCCACGTCAGCTTTGGAGAACATTCCAGAGCTCTCAAACTCTGAGGTACTCGAGCTTGTTCCTTTCAACCAAAGTGCTGTGCCAAAGATCTTTAAGATTGATCTACGGAAAGCACAAAGCAGCTTCTCCTTGGTCCTCAGGTCCGAAAACGAAGATGAAGCCTACAACGTGGACCTTCTAGTGGCACTTGATAAGTTTGTCAAGTTGGATAATTTTGCATTTGAAACTATGTCTCAGGATTCGGTTGTGGCCAATACCGATAAGGCTGTGGAGATCGACGTCAGGAGCGATATGATCGTCAACCACTTGGAGAAGTATAAGGAGGAGGATTCATGCTACTTGTACGCCGTGGTGTTTGCATGGGACCACAATGCCAAAGTCAGGCTTGAGAAGAAGCCTATCGTGCAAAAGGCTGAAGAGGTGAAGAATTCAACTATGGAAGCTCCATGCAGCCACTGTGGGAAAAGAATTGAAAAAGCAAAGTTGCCTCTCCACGAAGCTTTTTGCATCAGAAACAACGTCAAGTGCTCTTGTGGTCTGGTGTTCAATAAGGAAGTGCCTGCCAACCATTGGCATTGCGATGTTTGTGTGCCTCCAGTAGCTGGAAACAGCACCTTGTTCAAATTCAAGCATGACCGTCTTCAGCACAGCGGTCCATACAAGTGTGAAGAGTGTGACAACTCACCAGAGTACTCTGACTTTGTGCTGTTGGTGAGAGACCATAAGCTGACAAGCTGCCCTGCAAAACTCCACGAATGTATGTTCTGTCATTTAATTTTGCCACAAGAGGAGGAGACATACGAAGATAGGTTCACCAACCTCACTCACCATGAAAACCAGTGTGGCAACAAAACAACGGAATGCTTCGAGTGCCATCGGGTGTTCAAGCGCAAGGATCTCAAGAGCCACATGCGGATGCATTACATGGACAAGGTCGAGCTCAACACGGAATCTGTTGGTTTATGTGCAAATGTTAATTGTGTGAACATTGTCGAAGACGCCACCAACGAGCTCGGCCTCTGTGATATCTGTTACGGACCATTGTTTGCAACAGTCCTTGATCCAACGCACATCAAGTTGCAGAACAGGATCGAGCGTCGCTACATGCTACAGCTCACCAAAGGCTGTGGAAACAGCTGGTGTCAAAACTCGCATTGTGCTACAGCTTCCAAGCCACTCCCCATCAAAGACCTGCTCAATCTCATCCAACAAGAGCTTTTGCCGCTTATAGTCAAGCCCGAGCTTCCAATTACGAAGAAAAACGGCGCGAAGAGCTCTCGTAACGAGTTGTACTTTTGCATTTCCGAAAGTGTACATAACAAGAAGGCACTCGTGGAGCACCTAGCTGAGGAGGGCCACTACTCCAGAAACATGGCACTCAAGGCGGTTCACAAACTGCGTAACGAGGATAGTGCCAGGGAATGGCTTGCACGAAACGCAATCTCCGTCAGTTAGAGTTGCAGCCATTAGCATATAGACCAATAGCATTTGAGCCAAACGGCTGGCCCTTTTTATTACAGGAGAACGATTCTATTAAAGCGCAAATCCAATGTAGATGTTCATCCTATTGTCAGATATCACCCAGGACCAAACTAAGCAATAGCAACGTTATCCTCGGGTGTCTCAAAGATAGCCGACAAGTGTGGTCCTGTAACACATGCATTTCGTGCAATGGCTGGTCTAAATAGAGCTAATAGTCAGGCAGTTAACATAAAACAGAAAATGGGAGCTTTTGATGTCAGCGGATCTCTTCAAATTGTAGATATGAATGTGATTTTGGTGCCAAGTCCATGGCCAAACTACAAGAGATAGCACGAGGTTGAAGGAATCCCAAGGTTGAAGAAATATCAAAAACATAAAGATCTACCAGAAAATTCCAAATCCACTCCCAGAGAATTCAGTATAGTGGATCCTACTGAATGCTCCATCCAAAGAACCACTATTAGAGGACCACCAGGGCACGGAATTGGGACCTTATCAGCAACTCCGAGATCCTTTCGACCGAAAACGGTCACTTCCTTCAATTACAAAACGGAAACCCCAAAACCGTCTTCAACCGCTAGGGTGCAAAATTACTTATCTTGCCACCGATAATGCAAATCCACGACCCGACCAACTTTCACATTCTGCCATTGTGCGGTGCGGGATAGTGTGGATGTCTCCGGGGCCGACCGTTATTTCACCAGCCCACGTGAAACAAAAAGTGGCCTAAAACACGAAATCGATCAATTCGACTAATGAAGAAAATGTCAAAATAATTCATCTCTTTGGTTCTTCTCGTCCCCGGACCAGACCGGTCTGAGTCATGAGTGGCTGCGAAAGCCTCAGCTCCACAGTCCACAGCAACCCACCACCATCACCTACACAAAAACCGATACAAAACGGAATCTATTCATGAATCTAACCACTCAATGCTTTTTAAAAGATACCACAAAATCAGCTTCTCCTCTTCCTCCCTTCTGCCTCTTATCACTAGTCCGCATCTCGGAAGGCTTATCAGCACGCGAGCAACCGCAGTAGGGCCGCCACAGCCACCACATGTACGAGAAACTCCAAAATCAAACTCGACCAGGAGGTTTCAAACTTCCCCAATTCTTCAAAAAACACCTCATCCTCGCAATTGCACTTTCCTGAAGCCCTGGACCGCCCGGATTATCTGTGCACCCGTACCTCCCGTGGTGGCTGGCCCCCTTTCCTACACACACCGCCCTCTCGCTATAAAAGCCGACCCTCTTATCGCCACTGTTACTCCCTCTTCTTATCTGATTCCAGAAAAAGAACCCAAACTACACACAATCTCCACTTTTTAGCCATGTTGTTCTCCCGCTCCGTGGCCCTCTCCATCCTTGCCACCTTGGGCGTTAACGGTCTCGTTATCCCCCACATTGGTGACGTTATCGACGTCTTCAAGTCATCCGACTTGGCTACCTTGAAGGAAGACCTCACCCACAAGGCTGGTGAGCTTGTTGCCGACTTGAAGCACGCCAAGCGCCCTGTGTTGGTTGCTCCTTCCGAGGCTGCTCCTTTGTTGTCTAAGGAGGGTCTCCGTGACGTGATTCCCCACAAGTACATTGTGGTGTTCAAGGAGGGCGTGTCGAAGGACTACGCTAGCTTCCACTCGCAGTGGGTCGCCGAGGCTCACGCCCAGGCTGTTGGCTCTGCCGACAAGGCCGACCCATACTTTGCTGCCGTTGAGGCTGCTCAGACCGAGGGCGGTATCACCGACCAGTTCGACGTGGCCAGCCTCCTTACTGGTTACACCGGTTACTTCTTGGACTCCATGGTTGAGTTGATTCGCCGTGACCCAGCTGTCGCCCACGTTGAGAAGGACTCAATGGTTTACGCCAACGAGTTTGACGTCCAGAAGGGTGCTCCATGGGGTTTGGCCAGAATCTCTCACAGAGCTCCTCTCTCCTTGAGCTCTTTCAACCAGTACCTCCACGACACTGAGGGTGGCCATGGTGTTACCTCCTACGTCATTGACACTGGTGTTTTCGTTGACCACTCCCAGTTCGAGGGTAGAGCCAAGTGGGGTAAGACCATCCCTACTGGTGACACCGACAACGACGCCAACGGTCACGGTACCCACTGTGCCGGTACAATTGCCTCCAAGGACTTTGGTGTTGCCAAGAACGCCCATGTTGTTGCCGTCAAGGTCTTGGGCTCCAACGGTTCTGGTTCCATGTCCGACGTTCTCAAGGGTGTTGAGTTCGCCGCCAAGTCTCACCAGGAGCAGGCCAAGGAGGGCAAGAAGGGCTTCAAGGGTTCCACCGCCAACATGTCTTTGGGTGGTGGCAAGTCCCCAGCTTTGGACTTGGCTGTCAATGCCGCTGTCAAGGCTGGTCTCCACTTTGCCGTGGCTGCTGGTAACGAGAACCAGGACGCCTCCAACACCTCGCCAGCTTCCGCTGAGTTGGCCGTCACTGTCGGTGCCTCCACCATCTCCGACGCCAGAGCATACTTCTCTAACTACGGTGACGTTGTTGACATCTTTGCCCCAGGTCTCAACATTTTGAGTACCTACATTGGCTCCGAGACCGCCACCGCCACTTTGAGTGGTACTTCCATGGCCTCTCCTCACATTGCCGGTTTGTTGGCCTACTTTGTGTCCTTGCAGCCTGGTGCTGACTCTGAGTTCTTTGTCTCTGAGAAGGGTGTTTCCCCAGGTCAGTTGAAGAAGAACTTGGTTAACTACGCCACCAAGAACAAGTTGTCCGACATTCCAGATGACGGTACTCCAAACCTCTTGGCTTTCAACGGTGCTGGACACAACTTGACTAGCTTCTGGGGTGGTGAGGCCACCGAGGAGTCCGAGGCTGTCGATGTGAAGCAGGCCACTTTGGGCTCCAAGATTGACGAGTTGCTCGCCAAGGTGGAGAAGGACTCTTCCCACATCATCGACGACGTCAAGGCCTTGGTCAACGACATCTACCAGAAGCAGTAAGGGTTCTATAGAGTAGAGCTTCCGTTAGTTATTGATATACGATATTATTAAGCAAGTGTAGGCGCGATTTAACCGCGAGGGAAGTCTGGAGAAGGTATAGCGGTGGTAGTGGCGCGGTGTACGGGTGTGTTTGAGGTCTACCATGATTAGAAGCGCCATACTCAATGGTAAATTTCACCAACTTACACCTTTTTTTTATAGAATGTCGACTCCCGCAAAAAGAAGGCTTATGCGTGATTTCAAGAGGATGCAGCTGGACGCCCCCTCGGGTGTCTCTGCCTCTCCTCTCCCTGATAACGTCATGTCCTGGAATGCCGTAATCATAGGCCCAGCTGATACACCATTTGAAGACGGAACCTTCAAGCTTGTGCTACAGTTTGATGAACAATACCCCAACAAACCTCCTTCCGTTAAATTCATGAGTGAAATGTTCCATCCCAACGTTTACGCCAGTGGCGAATTGTGTCTAGATATTTTGCAGAACAGGTGGTCTCCTACCTACGACGTTTCGAGCATTTTGACGTCAATCCAATCATTACTTAACGACCCCAACATTCTGTCGCCAGCCAACGTGGAAGCAGCTAATTTATACAAGGACCACCGGTCGCAGTACATCAAGAGAGTGAGAGAAACTGTGGAAACAAGCTGGAACGAAGACGATGATGACGACGACGACGAGGATGACGATGATGATGATGAATAGTGGCTTCTTTAGACTATGTATATACAGGGCGGATTCAGGTGCCTTTTGGGGGGCTGTCGTAGTGCTACTTGAGCCAGAGGTAGTACCATTTCTTGCTTGGCTTTGGAGGTTCAGGCACGGGCTCGGGTTCCTTCTTTTGGAATGAGTCTTCGATGACGACTTCCTTGGGCTTGCCCTCCTCGCCGATCTTTTTGTCACGAGCAATCGCCAACATCACCACGAGGATGGTAATATAGATGAACGTCTTGGTCACAGGGTCCATTTTTTTAATGTCAAACTGTTCCTTTCTGACGGGCGTCTCGGCAAGTATAACAGGCTCTAATTTATTAATCTTGTCATTGTTTTTTGGTTGTGTAGTTCGTATTTTGGAAGGAAGAGTAAACGGAAGATCGAGCGGAGGTTCCATGGACTTCCAGTTGGAAAACTTCTCTCTGACACCCCAGTCACCGTATGCAATGTAATAGCCGAGTTTCTTGTCGGCTTCGGTGAGCTTGTGCCACTTTTTGTCGTACTTCTCTTGAAGCTCTTGAAGAACCTGGCCTTGATGCAAAAGACTCAATGTGCCGAAAATTTGGGGGTTTTTGAAGATTGGAGCAGTGTCTATAGGCTGAGTTCCATCGTCACTGCCAGAGGAAAAGAGCGATCCCATGTCTTTGAGTGTTTGAACGTGGACTTTGGCAGCCTCGGCTTTGGCTTCCTCTGGTGAAAGTTTCCGTGCTGGAGGGGTGGTGCTTTTTGAGTTTTGTTCTGGTTCTGGAGCGGTCAGGAGAAGACGGAGGGAGCATCTGGCCGTATATGGCAACCCACAGCGGGTCAATGGTGCCACGGTATTCAAGCGAAGCATGTTGGTGAAGAGAAAAATGCGACGATTTGCACCCACTATATGGAGCGCAGTATCACCAAAGTGGGTCCAGGGAACTTTATATTTTTCAATCATTGAATTAATGTTTCAGGGAATGCTAGACCCCGTCTGTGATTTGAGGCTTTCTCGTAATACATTGCGTCACTGTAGTTTGATGTTTATAGTAGCACACATCAACTTCACTCTATCGCACATACTGACCACCGCTCATTCCTAGCTTTCTGTTCTCAATTCCATTTCTATATACCCATTCCCAATGCCTAGACGATACGATTCATGAACTTCCCAATGGCAATCATCGGTGCACAGATGGCCTTGACAGCCATGCAAAGAGCATCAATGAGTAGCGAAAGCTCGTAGAGAATCCACATGAAGATCACCAACTCAATAAGAATAACCACCGTCTGAAGTGATGGAAAGTGCACGGCGATAATGTCGATTGGCGCAAAAATGATCTTCATGATCTTGATGCTCTTGATCAACAGGTTGATGTTCGACACAATCTTGACAGGTCCGCCCTCGTGAAGCTTACTGAACCTGCTCTCTCTAGTCATCATAGCCTGCGCCAGTGTAGGTGGGTACTGGTACAGATCAACCTCGTTGCCCAATGCTATTTCGTCACTCAAGTTTCCATCGTCACTGAGCTCGATTTCTTCTGGAAATTCGGATTCCGTGTAAATGGTAGATGCTTGGTCAAACTTCTGGACTGCTCGAGTCTCAGGCACGGCCTTGTTACCAAAATAAGCCAGCGCAGGCTCGTTCCACCGCTTCATCTTGGTCTTGTAGTCTTTGAGCTTGTTTCGTTTCTTCTTAGAAGGTGTGATTGACTCTCCTCTATCGATCTCGACTATTTTCCCGACAGGAGCAGCAGGAGTCGTAGAGGCCGAAGCCTGCGTGGTAGCTGAATTGTACACCAACCAGGAAAGCATGTAGTTCCAGAGTGGGTGGAAGTTGTCGTTTGGGCCTATGCTGCCCAGTCTAGCTTCAATCTCTTGTTCAGGCTCTTCGATGCTCTTCACTTTCTGATTTAAACGAGCTTCCTTCTCCCTGTTGTAGTTATCGAAGTAGTCGTCACCCAAAGCCTTTTTGGCGTTCTTCCACTTTCTTTTCCATGCTTTCTTGATATTCTCGTTCTGTGGATCATTCTCGTATCCCTCCATCTCCTCATCGTCTGAATTATCACTGACATGCTGAACGAAAAGCTCCGGATCCTTCTCTTGCTTCTTTTTCTTCCATGCAAGTTTGAACTTCTTCTCCAGCTTCTGTTTGGCCTTCTCCCTTTCCTTCTGGGCCCTCTTCTCGTCTAGCTCATTCTGGGTGTAGTAGTCGTACGAATTGTAGTCATTGATGCCCACCTTCTTTTGAACCGACTTCATTGCTCTCGATAATTTCTGTTTCTTCTCCTGTTCTCTGGTTTTCTCGGGATCGTCAAAGACAACGTCTATAGGGTTGAACCGCTCGTCCTGGTCTCTGTCAAATACGTCCATAAACGTTTTATGCGTAAACATTCTTGGCTTGACTTCCTCGGCATCCTCGTAACGTTTTTTCTGGTCGATGTAGTAACCTTCGTATCCGGCTGGTATCAGCCTGGGTTGGTCTTGAACCAGGTCAAGGTCCTGGGTGTGGAACGACGAAGAATCGTCCATTTTCCGTTTGGGCTTGTAGTAGTCCAGGTAATCGACCGTTCTCTGCTTTTTGTAGAGATAGTTCAAGTGAGCGGGTGTAATTGCTTCGTCTAGTTCATCTGGATTGTCTCGTCTAGGAGTTGACGGCGTAGAAACCGGTGACATCAGTCTGGACGGAAGCGTCGACAGACTCTGGTTTCTTCGCCTGTCTAGATAATCGGAGGTGAAGTAGCCAGTTCGAGAAACGTTCATGAAGAAAGTGGTGAAGAAGTGTGAAGGCTAAAGCTACGATCTGAAGAGGCCTGATCTGGGTGGCTGGCTGATCTGGGGAAGGTAAACAGTCCTGCAGGGTCCACCACCCGTTGATCCAGCCAAACAGTTGGTTCCGTTTTTTGGGAAATACCTTCTGATCAGTTAGGTGGAGCGGTTTTTGAAATCCAATTTTTGTAGGTTTGTGGTTGTTATGTGGGTTGCTTGTTGTGGTGGTTTCGCAGCCATTTTGACAGTGCCTTCTTGATAAGCACCACGAAAAGCAAACAATAACAAAAACTCCGAAATGATGACCGGAGACGAATATGTGGGTGGGGAAGTTTTGTGGGACCCAGACTTGCAACTTTTGTATTTCTATTGATCTGTCGTGATCGGAGGGTACCAATGGCAGAGAATGTGGAAGCACATCAAAGTGCATCTGCTATACCCATTGGGTGAATTAGCAAACATAGTCTTTTCTTGTTCAGTTCATCTGTAAAAGAGGACGTTGTTTTCTGGTGAAAGCCACTTGAAAGATCATCTATTTATTTGAATTTTGATTCCAAGTCCATCTTGGGTTTTCCACTTCTTCCTCAACTTCTCACAAGACCTCCACTTTGGCTGCGAATTAGTCACCGATGGAAAACCACAAAAGTTCCACAAAGAAAAAGTCCGATCCCGAAAATATTCAATTTAATCAAAAGGAGAAACCAAAAACTCACTAATCGCTACACCTCGTATCTCTCTCCATCCTGCTTTTCTCCTACCCCAGATGCTCACTCTTATCTCACTCTCAAGATCATCTGCAACACCTCCCCCATGTTCCGTCTACAAACCAAAACCCGCCTGCCCTCCATACTTAGACTAAGCAGAGCCTACTCAAAGCCTCAGGAGACAGCTTCATCATCTCCAATTTCATCCCACTCCTACATTGATGACGATATCCTTTCCTTGGTGAGCAAGCAGAAGATCGCTAACCACTTGGAAGATCTCGGGCCGTATCCGCTGTACTCGCTGATTTTGACGCCCCAGCACTTTTTCCAGAATGAGGTGTTGATGAAATACTCCCAGAAACTGCCCCATCCGGTGTCGTTGAGACAATTGGCAGGGTACGGCAAGGCCTTGACCAAACAGAAGATCCTAGCTTCTGCCAACTTTGTCAGACTAGAATTGCCTATCCGACTTGCCATGAGAATCCGTGACCTCCAAACGCTTCCCTTTGGAGTCGTCAACAACTTCCATCTCGCTCAGATCTACGAAAGCTACTACCATCTGTTCAATGCGTTCCGGAAGATCCCCAATATCACCACGGCATCTGAAAACGAACGCTTTTGTGAGGACATCAGCAATCTCTTGGATCAACACGTCTTCAACTTGTCTCATCTCATGATGGGTGCGTTGGAGGTGTCCATTTTGGAGAGTCTTCCACAGGATGCTCTAGACAACTTCATGAGCTCAATGCTCCGCTCCAGAATCAGTAGAAGAGTCATTGTAGAGGAGCATTTGTCGCTTACAGAGATCTACAAAAAACATCCATACCAGAGGCAGTCGCCAGATTACATTGGCGAGATCTTCCATCGATGCAACGCTGCAGAGCACTTCAAGATGGTTCACGAGTTGGTGAAAGACTCCTCATTGGAGGCATTCCCCAATAGAGACCTCATGCCTGATTTAGAGATTGACGGCGATACCTCCTTGAGCTTCCCGTTCATGGTACCCCATTTGCATTACTTGTTTGGTGAGATCTTGAGAAACTCCATGGAAGCCACCATCACCACCCACGGAGACAGCGGCAAGAAACTTCCACCAATCAAGGTCACGTTGATTGACTCGAAAAAGCTGGTGACTTTCCGCATATCTGACCAGGGCGGCGGCATGAGCCACGAAAAGCTCAAGTCGATCTGGTCCTTCGGAAAACTGCCTGACCATGCCAGACAGAGTCTTGCCAACTTCCACTCCATCCCAGACTTGCAAATGTACTCCAATCTCCAAGTCACTCCAGCTGGTTCCTCCATTATTCAACTGCAAGACCAGCTTCTGGGAACCTCCATGGCAGAAACACTGCCAGAGACGAAAAAGTCAACCCTAGACAGGTTGATCAACAGACACTACAAGTTCAAGTTGGGGCTTGGGTTGCCCATGTGCAAGGTTTATGCCGACTACTGGAACGGAAACCTCAGCATGAATTCAATTGAAGGCTACGGCAGCGACACCTGCCTAGAATTGAGTAAGCTCGGATTCCACTCCAATGTGATCCAGTTGGACAGAGCATAGTCTACACACAATGCGCACCTCAAATACATCCAACATCTACATCCTCTCCAACTCTTCTGATACACCAACACGTCCACCCAGGGCATTTTCATCAATAGATCAAGCACATGAGTCAAAGAAACGTGCCTATATCGCTGCTTCTAGGCGGTGGCGAGGAGAATGCCAAACAGGAATATCAGTATGCCAACCAGAGTCAGACCCCAGCTCCACACATGGGATCCCAAAGTCCACAGCCGCTTAACTCGGCTTCGCCATACAGACCGAACCCAATCCTGAGTCTTGTTTCTGACTTCCAAGCGCAGGGCGAACTAAGGCCCAATCTGGCGCAGAAACCCATAGTGATAGACGACGAGCGTTCTTCACCACCAGAGATTGTTGTGGTGGACGATAACGAAAGAGCTCTGCGGCTGCCCGTGCCTTTAGCACCATCGTATCGCAGGCCGTCGCCGTTGGCGTATAAGCTCAACACGATGGGCGATAATCCTGGTGCAGTGCTGGACTATATCAAGAATTTCCAAAGCAACTTCAAAGTGGGCTCCACGGAGCCAATCGACAGTTCTACCATTCAGTGGAGGGCAGGTGGCCCAAGCAAAACAAGCATTAATTCCATCATCAACTCCGAGGAAAGCAACGCACTGCTGGCGCCAGCTCCCGAGAAGAAGAAGAGAGCATCATCCGCAAAGACGGAATCTGCTGCTAAAAAGGCCAAGACAGAGAAGAAGACAGCAAAAGGTGACGTCAAGGCAGAGCCCAAGAAGCCAGGCCCCAAAAGCAAAAAGAAGACTCCTGAAATTGCCATTGCACCTGCTGATAAACCATCCATACATCCTACGGCCACAGCCGATAAAGCCAAGACGAAAAGTCAGCCTGTCAAGCTAGAAAAGCCTGCTGTCATGTCGCTCAAGAAGGAGGACCAGCTGGATGATTCGAAGAACTCACCCCACGAAGACAAGAAGGATAAGCTGGCGGCACCTCCACCTATCATTGCATTAAATATTCCTCTCCTTGATCCTAAGGCACCCATGCCCGGTCAAGCTGAGGTAGTTGTTAATGTGCTCAAACTTGCAGAGGAGAAGTACGGCTGGAACACGATACACCCCAATGCAAAGTCAGCAATTGACCTCATGGATGAGATGCTTGACGACGAAGACGAAGGTGCCGACGAAGATGACGATGACGAGCTACAGGTTGTAGATGAAAAGGGCAATACGCTAGCTCAGAACGAAAAGAACGCTCAGAATGAGAAGAGCAATGCTACAAGCAAGAAGAAGAACAATGACGAGTTAACAGAGGAGCAAAGAGCCAGACAGCATGAGACTCGTATGAACAGGAAAGTGGGTAAGTACGATTACGAAGATCCCTTCATTGATGATGAGGAGCTTCAGTGGGAAGAAGAAATCACAACAACCAAGGAAGGTTTCTTCGTTTACTGGGGACCCTTGGTGGAGGACAGAGCTACTACATCGACCACCAAGAAGGGTGCTGCAAAGGGCAAGAAGTAAATTGTCTATGTATCTAGCTAGAGAGACGCTCAAGAGAGATGTTCAAAATACCGGCCATGTTGGCAGTTGTAGGATCCTCACTCTTAGCTTCCTCCAACTTTTGGAGCTTGCCTTTCAAGGAAGACACAACCTCGCTGCTTTCATCCTTGATAAGACCAGGCTTTTGGAGCACATGCTGGAGACTCAAAAGCGCCACCAAGGTTCCACAAGAGTCCCTGTCGATAGTAGTAGAGCCATCTTCAGTGACAAAAGTGCGGTCAACAGCATTTTGTAAGACACCCTGTAGCTCCTTGACTCTGCTGTCTGTCAAAGTGATGAACCTCGTGCTGCGGGAGCTGTTTCTCTTTGGGAGTGGAGGTGGGCGTGAGTTGTCGGGCTTAGACTCCGAGATGCTGGAATCTTGTAGGGTATTTGTCAACTCGCAAAGATCGCTCTTCTCTTTGGTAACCAACTCCTTGAAGACACCCACCAAAGCAGTCTTGAGGTTCTCATAGGGGCAGTCGTTCAATGAGTCAATCAAAAATGCATAACTTGTATCTTCAGGGGCATGAGCAAGAACCTTCGTCAAGAGTGTGAGCACGACATATCTCAAGTTGGGGTATTCACGGTTGGAGATCAACATGAAAAGCAACGCTTGGAGGTATGCCAGGAGAAGAAGGGATGGAGTTTTGGAAAGCTCCAACGAGAGGTTGCGCTTCTCGAGGTTTGCTTGATGAATGGCGTACCATGACCAGAACACGGCTATGTCTGTGAAACCTCTGTTGAAAAACGTGGTGTGAATCATGCCTGGAATCACCAATCGAAGTGTGAGCGATACAGCGTCATTGATAGTGACTGTGACTTTTTTCATGTCCTTGTTGGGGCCCACGGAGTTTGTAAAGAGAACCAACACACCAGCTGCAGAGTCATGAACAGCCTTGGCCTCGCTGCTTATCAAGGAGCTGACAATAGTCTTTTGGTAACTTACCACCAACTTCTCAAACAAATGCCCATGCTTTTCGTCGTCATCTTCACCCTCTAGCTCCTGCGTGTCGACCAAATCATTGCTTTCTTCGATGAAGTCCTTGAAGTTGGTTGTCAAGTCCACATCGAAAGAGAGGGCGAGCTCCACAAGACGGTCAAGGACCGGTAGGTAGACGTTGTGCTCACTTTCCTTATTCTTTGCCACGCATTGGAGGTAATTGAGGAAGTCTGTGGCAAAACCCACCACCGTACGTTTGGTGACCAAGTTCACAGCCTCAGTGACAAACCCAGTCAACAACTTCCGCTGCAAGTAGTCCTCGTCGCTGTTGATCTTCTCAAGTTCCTGGGGCGAAACCTCAATTTTTTCTGGGAGCGGTGGTCTCTGGTAGTTTCTGGCGAAGCTGTAGACTCTCTTCCAGCGGAAATCGGCTTCGCCTAGATCAGCCACAGGGTTGCCATGAAGCGAATTGATGAAACTGGCCACTGTCATGGCAAGGAAACGCGAGGGGTAAAGCGTGTGGATGCGTCTCAAGCAGCTGTCGATCAATTCAAAGATACAGTAGAGCTTGACGTCGTAGAACTTGTGTCTGAAGTAGGTATTCTCCGTCACGGCGTCGTTTTCCAGCAAGGAGCTCAAAAGCTCAGTGCTCTTCAAAAACAACTCTTTCGAATTGCCATGGTGGGCCAAAAGCTCAAAGATCTTGCACACGTTGAAGACACATGGAGCATTGCGGAGGGCTCCATCGAAGGCGTAGTCGGATTCCACAAAAGGAAGCAACAAGGCAGGCAAATCCCAGCCAATCTCATACACCAAGTCGTGGTCCAGATCCAAAATCTTCAAAAGATGGCTCAAGATCTGGTCTCTCTCCTCCACACGATATCTCTCTGGCTCGCTCAAGTACATATCCAAGATGGTGGAGTAGGACAAAAAATCGCCCAGCTCCTTGGCCTCGGCGGCGGCCTGGGTGAAAACTTCAAAAATCTTCTCCAATTCCTGAGCCTCAATGGTGGCATCCAGCCCCAGCTCGTGTTCGGTATCAGACATAGTTGTTCCTTTGAGTCTCTTTCTCGTTTCTAGCCGCGCTACTAGACAATGTACGGGTCTCCATCGTCAATACAGTTGTAAACGGCTGAACGGGAGGGGAAGGTACTCTAGGGTTGATTGAAGAGGTCTTTTAAAGAGATTTTTTGAGTTTGTTTACTTTGAGGGCATTGATTGTGAAGCTGGACCGTTGATAAGTCCGTTATACGACCAGTCAGGGGTATACACTGATAAAGGTATCAAACAGGTAACTTGCAATTGCCTACCTGAAATTTAGCAGTCAGAGAGTTTATTGAACAGTGTTTGTTCCTTTGACTCTTGTTTCGTTCTGCTAACGTGGCTACACTGGGATTGAAGCACAACCCGATTGAAGCACAACCAGGGTACACAGCCTACTTGATAAACCCGAGGCCATAAACGAAATTGAAAATCCATCAATTGGGCAAATCGTTCACAGCCCTTTTCGTTTCATCCTTTTATTTTTGAGTTTCTCCAGCATTTGGTGGTATTGAATGCTTGCTGCCTTTTGAGCATTCTCACCACAGCCCCAATCGACATACCACGCAGATAGTGTATCAAAGGCTGTCAAAGAGCTGTCAAAATTGAGGATTAAACTCAGTACTTGAATTTCGAGGAAGCAAAGAAATAAGTCAGCCGCTTTTGCATCATCTAATTTCTATTAAGCACTCTTCCATAAAACATCAACGAACTCACCACAATGAACCTGGATGCGCTGGATGTGCTGGACCTGGTGCTGCTGGCAGAATTCGAGGCTGAGACAGCAGACCAGAAAGTGCCATTGTCCACGCTGATGGTGCTACCGAAAATGGAAGAGGATCCTCTCAAGGAGCTATTGGAAACCAGCAGTGAAAAAGTCACCTTGCGTTTTCATCCAATTGGCTCGGCACCAGCCATCAATCCTAGCATTTTCAAGATTTCAGGGTCTCAGACGGTGGCTACTGTACTGAATTATCTAATGAAGAGGCTTCGACTAAAGCATATCCATTTGTATGTGCTGAGTACATTCCAACCAACGCCGGACGAGAAGTTGGGAGATTTGCATAAGCTTTTCCTGAGTAAAGGAGAGTTGGTACTAGGGTACTGTGAAACCATAGCATTCGGCTAGTCTTACATGTCAAATAGGAAATAACTCATTTACAATCTAACAAATTTGAGCCCAAGGACTCAGGTATACAAGAACAATACTATGGCGAACGAAATTCAAACTTTTGACACATCCGCGACAATAGCGAAGGGTATCGAAATGCAAACTGCTTAGTAGAAGACAAACTCGGCGTCACCTTCGTCAACGGTGAGCGTACAACCGTCAGAGCCGTGACCGCCCTTGTAGTTGCCGTCTTCGTAGGAACAAGAGCCGACAGTGCTGGCACCGTTGGCACCCTGGATCTTGATGCTGTAGTTAGGAGCATCCTTGTTGTTAGGGTTAGGAATCAAAGACAAGTAGGTCTTGCCGCCAGTGTTACCAGCACCCAAGACAACAGGAGCCCAGTTACCGACACCAGAGCCGGCGGTACCCCAGATACAACCCTTCTCAACAGAAACACCAGCGTTGTTGACGTAGTACTGAGTAGAGGATCTGCCACCCTTCCACATGTAGTACTTGTCGGAGTCGACAACGGAGACAGGAGCAGACTTACCAGCCTCCAACAAGGTTGGGATGTTCATGTTCTCGGAACCAGGGTAGTCAGTTCTGCAGATGGCGACGTCCTTGTCAATCTTGGAGACAAAGTTGGTACCCTTGTAACCCCATTCACACAAGTAGTCCTTGTCCTTGTTGGATCTGTACAACTTGCCGTTCTTACAGTACAAACCACCAACGGAGATACCGTTAGATGGCTGCTCAGAAGGCCACTGGGTCTTGGACATACCAGCCTGACAAGCGTAAGAACAGTAGTAGCCGTCCTTACAGGTGAAGGAGGTGTCACCGTTCAGGTTCATGATGGTGGTGAAACCACCCTTGAGCTCGGAAAGCCAGTCAACCTCAATGACACCCTGACCGGTTGGCAAGGAGTCACAGTCGTGGACACCGTCCTCGAACTTCTCAGTTGGGTCGGAGAAGAGGGAAAGGTCACCGTTGATACCGCCAGAGCCACCGGAAGATGGGCTGGAGGAAGCGGTGGAGCTGGTCTTCGAGGACGACGAGGAAGACGAGGCAGAAGAAGCGCTCGAGGAAGATGGGGAAGACGAGGAAGACGACGAGGAGGAAGTGGTGACGGTGGAAGCGGAGGTGGTGACGGAGTCAGAGGAGGCCGAGGAGGTCTCGATAGCACCCTTCACCTCACCGTTACCACCAACAGTGACGGTTCTGAAAGTAGTCACGACGGCTCTAGCCTCGTTCTGGTGGTGGTGGTGCTTGTGGAAGCCGGATGGAGCGGCCATGGCGGAGGCCAAAAGAGTGGACACGATGAAAGTTCTCATTCTTGGACTTGGATCTAAGGAAAGACGGTAGTTGGATCTGGATCACAAAGAGTGGATGTCCAGAATTGACAGGAAAGAAAGAAAGTAGTTGGAAGTTAAAAAACTCAAAGGAGTGCTGAGCCTTTTACGTCAAGAATGTTTGGGACCGTGGATCTAAACAAAAAAAAAGGAGTAGGCTTAAGGTGCGAGGATGGCGTGTAAATATATAGGCTCAGCGGGCAGCGAGAAGGCACAGGTGAGTGTTTTTCTTTTTTTGCTGCCTTTTTTTGTGCGGCCTGTGTGCAGTATATGACAACAACTGAGCCAAGGCGCATAAAGCCAGGGGTCTAGACTTTGACGGGCTAATTAACGCCAAACTAGGCTTAATTGTCGCGGGACATGCGCTGTGTGCAGGAGCTACGTATCGGCGTTCTCACGACAAATTTCGCAGCCATCAACGCTAGGCTTAAGTGACCAAGGTGGGATAATACGAGATTCCTGGTGGGGCGGTCGAAATCTGTCAGAAGTTTGTTTTTTAGAAATTATGATTATGGAGCAACTGGGAAAAAGGGGTCGCAGACGGCAGACTTGGCTCGGCGGTTAAACGTCGTCTCCAGCAGAGAGCCACTCGGAGGCCGTCCTTTATCTGCTGGAAGAGCCGTTTGATCTCGGGCTGAGTGGCGATGCAACGCTCCGCCAACGTCGGTAGAAGCTACTATTTGGCCGATAAATGACGATAGGGGTCAACGTAAATTGGTAGAGATTTGGTGGATGAAGATCCAGGAATGGTGAACTATGGATACCATGAATGGAGATCTGAGAAAGGGTAGATTGCAGAGAATGGCACGGCTTGCAATCAAGAAAATTCAACATACCATGCCGCCTCTCGGAGTCCCTTTTCTTTTCTCTGGTTCGCCTCAACACTGTGGTATTGTGCTACCACCAAGGCGCCTATCTACTATGTCGATCCAGGTCTAGACGACAGCGTCAAGATCGTCCGTGAGGCGAGTAACGTGCTTTTACCGGTAACTACAAATTCCCTTGCTTCATTTCGCCTTATTCTCAAATTCTGTTCATTCGGCTCTCCCCGTATCTTCTCCAGACCATAAGGCTACCTTCTGTGGGTCGCTTATGCAACTTTTGTTTCTTTTGCAAGAGCCATGAGTGGTCCTGGGCTATAGGCGGCGTTTCCTCCGACTTCGATGCGTTATCTTGGCCTTGGTCTGGGCCAAATTTGCAAACCTTAAAAAAACGTAAAAAAAAAAAAAAAAATACAAAAACAATATGTAAAAGATCGCCAGATGCCTAGGTCCACACAGAATGCCTCAAAGAATGCCGCTCAACAATACCAGAATTCCGAAGGTGCCACAAACCCACCAAAGAAAATCAACTCTACAAAATCCATCCCTTCACCCCTTGAACCATAAACTGTAAAAACGTGTAACAAAGTGATCCCTCGACTTTCACCTAAGCCTGATTCACGGTGCCGATTCGCGAGGGTGTAAATCAAACACTCGCAAAGCCACCCCAGACTCAAAAAAAACCCTCCTAACTTCCCTCACCAAACCCTACGTCTTTGTCAGACTTTTCATGAATGGCAACTTTTTTCCTTCAATAGCCAATCACCATAAACGTCGTATAAGCCTGAATCTGCAGGAAGTCCTGAAACCATTCCGTTGCCACCTCGAGCACATACATTCCAGGTTGCCCGGCAGGCGGTGGTTTAACAGGTGCTTTAGTCAGAATAGGGAGATTTTTTTTTTTTTTTTTTTTCGGTTCGCAGATGCCTCTTTGGTTCCAATGTTTTTTGCTATTTCGCACTGTTTTTTGCTACGCAAAGCCTCTTACTCACCGCACTGTTTACTAATTCCCCATTAATCAACCCTGGATCAACAGATCCCCTATTTTCAGAAAATCGTAGAAATTCCCCTATTCCCCTAATTCCACCCAATCACAGCAAACCCATAATTATCGGCAGCGCCGCGCCGCAGGCGGCTCGTTTGGGAAGTCATATTATCCACATGCGTCTACATGAGCCGGACGTCGAGAAATTTTTTTGCCCTTCGATGCCCGACGATTTTACTTTTGTGTTCCTTTTCACATCATTGGCCAAATCGGCCGTTTCCTTAAAACAATTTCCATATGGTTGCTGTGTCGTCTCTTATGGTTTCCCGTAGAAATTCTTTAATTTCACACGATCACCACCAACAACCCATGCTAACCCTAACATTATCTCTGAAATTCGCACACAGGTTTCATCGCCTGCCTGCGGCCATCGGAAGCCCTGTCCCCTAAATGGCCTGTCTAGAACTAAATGGTACCCTCATCCTCAATTCCCAAGTTGAACCACGGATGTTCAAGCGCCTCGAGCGCTGTGATTCGCTCGTTCGGGTCAATCACAAAGATCTTGCGCAACAAGTCAATGAAAAACCACCAGAACGTAAAATTGCCAAAGTTGATCAAGTGCCAGTTGCTCTGGTAATTCTCGCTCAACGACTGGTCAAAGTTGATGTTCAACCCGATTCTCTCACTGATGAACAAATCAATGCGCAGAAGCTGCTTGACGTTTTTGATAAACTTTTCTGGTGTGCTTGGCGTGGGGAAAATCAACAGTAGCGAGTTGTCCTCCGTGGACTCGTCATCTATTATCACATCGTCGTCGTCTTCGTCATCACTAAAGTGCTCGCCGTACAGACGACGGTAGTCGTTGGTGAAGTATTTCAAACCACACTCATTCTCTTTCTGCTTCAGGTACCTCACCATCTCTTTGCTGATTTTCGTGCCGCATATCTTTTCTATCATTGCCAAGTGTTCGAGGTTATCGTGAGTCCTGAACACCGGCTCACCAATCACCAACTCCACTAGAATACATCCCACCGACCACACATCACAGGGGAACGACCACCCAACGCCCAAGACGATTTCTGGTGCTCTATAGTGTCGCGTGGAAACAATCGAGGAATGGTATTCATCATCGAAGATGGCCGAACCAAAATCAATGATTTGTATGAGTGGGTTGTTTAATATTCTCAGAAACTTCGGTGGTTTATCAAGCCTGCGCTTTTCGCTGCTTGAATTAAGATTGAAGTAACTGGAAATGATGGTGGAGCTCTTAAGCTGCTTGCGCAGATAAGTGTCGTCATGCAACAAGATATTCTCAGGTTTAAGGTCAGTGTGAATTAGGTTGAGGTCGTGGAAGAAAGTCACCGACCTTATGAGCTGCTTGGAGATGGCTTGTATGTGTGAGCCAGGGTATGGTTTAAACTTGTTGTTCTCCAAGAAATCGTAAAGCGATATCTTAAGCAAATCCGTCACAATGCAAATGTGGCCTCTGTAGTCAAAGCACTCCCGAAGGTGAATGCAGTGGTTCTTGTTGTCGTTGTCAAACTTTTTCAACGTTGTGAGAATCCGTAGCTCGATCTTGGCAGCATCTCTATACTTTGGGATATTACGGATAATCTTGATGGCCACAGTATCACGGTTGACTTTATCGTAGCAAGCCACAACCTTACCGAAAGTTCCTTGGCCAACAAGCTTTTGAATGACAAAACGATTAGCAAATATATCGTTCTCTCTCACGATGTAGTGACCATCTTCGTCATCGCACGGGGGTAGGTTCATCTTATGAGGGATGATATGCGTCTTGACGTTTCCAACCTTGGGATGTTGAAGGATATAGTTGCTTGGCAATTTTTGGTAGAAACACTTAGCTTGGGGTAGTTGAGGCAACGAGTTTGTTCTTTGCTTCTTGACGCCTGGGTTGGCATGGTGTGGTATCTCAAACTGTTTGTTATCCATCGGGGTATCATTCACGTTCATGTTATTCACGTTGAACATGTTGTATGCATCTCGAACATCTTGATCCAAAAGAAGCATGGAATCGGAGTTGTTTCTATGTTGACGACGTTGGGCGAATGATGGCTGAATCTTGCGTTCTTCAAGGAACACAACTTCGTCATTCAAGTCAAATGCATCATCATTTTCGCCGTACAAGTCGTCTTCATCCTCCTCCTCTAACACTTCGCCATTGTGATGCTTATCAAAACTGTGGTTGTCGGTGGTCTCAGAATTGTTCAACGTGATATTGAGATTCAAATTAGGCGACTCGTTGAACGTCGACACTGACAGGGGAGACATATTGTCAAAAACTTTTGTTTGCTGAGCTGTGGAAGCATTAGGTACTCCATCGGAAGCGGCAGCTTTTCGGGACGAATCAAACGTCTCACTAAACCCTCTGGGTCTCTTTCTGTTGGATATCAACGACATCGCACACACTGTAACTATGTTTGGTCTCTCTAGGCTGATAAGAGAGCCCTGGGTGGGGGAAACTGTGGTGTTTTTTGGTTATCAACACAAGTCCGAGGCCGAACCTGGACTTTAAAGTCTGCAGCGGCTGAAATAGACTGTAAATTCAAAAACTCGCTCCAGCAATTAGAACGTCTGCAAATGCAATAGCTATTTTGATCTCCACTATTCACTCAGCTCTTTGGAAAGCAAGAATACTGCTATGAGCACAAATTGATGAGGAGTAAATCGCCGATTGCGCAAGATGACGGGATCGGTCTGCGAATCTGAAGAAAAAGCAGCGGTCTGGGGAAATTCCGGGGAACAAATTTAAGCAGTCGTGGGCAGATTGAGCACAGAGTCGTTAATTATGGCAAGAATGGTTGTCGACGTTGTCGAAACATCGAAAGTCAGGGGTTCCTCAACACGGTCGTGCGGAGGCAAAAAAGAGATAGCCGCCCGTTTTTCGGATTTTGAAGCAGCTGGCCCTATAGTTGAGGTCATGAAGAAGCTACATGTGTTTTTTCACGTTGTTTGACAAAGAGCGTGTCCAGTTATGGTGGATCTTCTGCACTGCTCACTAAGCGATAATGCTAGATAGCGATAGTTGCTGTAGTGACGCCGCGAATGACCGATAAGAGTTGGAGAGAAGAAGACCACGAGATGGAGAAGTATAAAAAAATTAAAATGTACAACTTTTAATAATTGGATGATTTTTGAACTACCAGGGTCGTCAA